TCTCTCTTTCTCTCTCTCTCCCTCCCTCCCTCCCTCCCCTCCCTCTCTCCCTTCATACCTCTTAGTCTCCCTCTCCCGGGCAGGCGCACGTACCTGGATCCTCCAGGCGGCTCTGGGCGAGGCTGGCGCTGCCTGGGTAGGACTGCACGGAACTGATGTAGGGGCTGGACGCGTGGCTGCTGACCGAGTTGACGTAGGGGTAGCCCAGCGGTCGGGAGAAAGACGAGGCCGAGCTGTAGGCGCCGTCGGGCTGCGAATGGCCCGCCGAGTGTAAACAGTGCATGGAGTAGTGCCCGTGGGACATGGGAGAAGGAGACATTTGCTGGTTGGGCGGCCCAAACTCCATAAACACCGCCTTGCCCGACACGGGGCTGTTGAGACTTTCTGGCATGGTGGTCATGGTCATCTCTTCTCGCGGGGTCTGGGTGTGGGTCTCTCACTCTCTCCTCTGCTTTCCTTTTGGGGGTCTCTGTGTTTCTCAGGACAGGAAGGAACCCAATTTAAGCAGAACAGGGGTTTTCACTTTCCATTCATAAGAAAATGGAGTTTGTCTCTTTGAAAAGTCTAAGCATGATGCTGCTGAGCTCCCCAAACTCGCTTCAAAGCTTTGACTCAGCCAAGGTCATAAATATTCATGAGCCGGCGGAGCTGATTGGTCCGTTGCCTTGCATAATCACTGGGGATTGGTCCGAGGCGCTCCGGCTCCGCTGGACTAGAGCGGGCGAGGCGGCCGGGTCTCCGGAGAGACGCGACCACAGTTCCCGGCCGGGGCTCGCTCCTCTGCAAAAGAGCGCGCCGAGCGGGACGCACAATGGGCCGGCGCCCTCGCCAGGACTACCGCGGCCCGCGGCTCCAAGGCCTCCCGCCTCCCGGAGCGCCTCACTTCCCAGAAAGCAACCTGCGACTTGGCGGCCGCCCTCCCCTTCCCCTACGATCCCGATCCTCCTCCCACCCCAACACCGGGGCCCCGGGCACAGCTTCTCCCGGCCACCGCCGCCGGGTCTGGCGCTGAGCTAGGGCAGTTCAGGAGCCCGGCCGCGACCTCCCGAGCGCGAAGTCGCGCACTGGGGGGCGCCGTAGGCGGCTCACAGGGCGCTGTCCTCCCCAGCGCCTGGTGCCTAGCGCAGCGCTCTCCCGGAGGCCCCGCCCTAGCCTGGGCTCGCTTGGCCTCATCCCCGGGGTGAGATCTGGGGCCCTCGGGCGAACTCACTCACTCGGCCGCCCTGCCGCCGCCGTCGCTCCCTGGGGCCGGCTCGCATTGCTCCAGGCCCAGCTGGCCACTCCAGTTCGAGGCTGCACCGGTCTGATTAAAGCAGTGCGCGCGGAGAGCCAGGAACCCGCGCTTCTCCTCCCAGGAAAGGCGGCCGCACCGCCCTCCACTCCCCCGACACCCCCATCCTTCCTCCACCGCCCCCTCCCCTCTCCACTCCCTCTGCGCCTGGCGCCCAGGGCTCACGCGCCCCTAGGGCGCGGCGCCGAGTGGCGTCCTGGAGCTGGCGGCTCAGTTCTGCTTGAGCAGCGGAGGCCAGGCGGTCATTTCCCGGGCTCCTGGGGGCCAACGGGAGTACTGGGGTTTAGGAGTCCTGGGGGACACCGAAACCCGCGGCAAAACCAAGCCAATAATAGGCTCACATATCTTGTGTGTGGACGTGTCTCTCATTGTCGCCCAGGATCCTCCTCATCTTCAGTGGTCAAAGTGTGCGCCACTGGGCCTGGGGACAGAACTGGTGGAGGCAAAAGCTGCCAAGGCCTCCTATCTTCTGGGGCGCTAGGTACAGAGAAGTGCACAAAAGCCCCCCCCAAAATAAAACTCGCCCCCCCCTCCGCTGTAACCACCACACAGCCACCCTCTTGAGGCGTGGTGCAAACCATGCTGTCTTCGAGGGGCTGTTGGTTCCCGATTCCTCCAGCCTCACGGTGAATCCAGAATTACTTTGTTAGGTAATTAGAAAGTGTTGATAATTATTTCTTTCATAATTTAGCGGTGTGGCGGGAACGGGGAAATGATCTTGTGAAAGTTCACACGTGCAGATGTATTAGTTACTGATTCATTTGATTAAATGGTAGTCTCAAGTGCTCGAATCCACAGCTGAAGGCGCCCCATTAGCATAACACTGATGTTTAATTTTCATACGCATAATTAGCCATATATTTAACACTAATAGCAACAAGCAGCCTTTCAACGTTAAACAGCCTGGGATTTGATCTGGCCTGAGCTGAACCTTCCCCGACGCACCTTCCCCTGGCTGGAGTGTCGCAATGATCACAGGACAAACCTCTGTAATCAAGTACATTTTGGCAGAAGGAACACCAATAAAAATGAGCACTCAAAACAAATTACATCGGCGCTGTCGTTGCAGATATTAGTGGAAGGGGCTTCTCTATTTTTTAACTTCAGTAGCAGCAGCAGCTGCCCGCGGAATTCCTCTCCTTTGGTTTAAGGGCATGATGTTGGGGGTAGAAATATTTCAGGCTGTGTGGTTGGAGCAAAAAGAAAAACAAAAGCCAAAAAAAAAAAAAAACCCAACAACAACCCACCCCACAACCGATCCTCCAAACCAATAACAGCTTTGCCAACGTTTAAAAAGATTTTTTTTCTTAATCACCCAACCACACGGTGATACTTTGTAGCAACAACCAGCTAATGACTCCGCTACCAGACAACTCCCAGGAGCTGCAGGACTCCTCTTGATTTCCGTGTTGCACTTGTGGTTTTCATTGCTCCTTCCTAGCGCCTATTTTGGGGTGTAGAGCCGGGTGTGGAGCGCGGTGTGGTGCGCCCAGCACAGCAGCACGGATGCCGCCCGGGCCCCTGGTTTCCCGCGCGCCTGGCGGGCCCTGACCACGTAAGTGATCGCCGTGGCTGGCGCGGTGGTGGGGTTGGGACCGAGGGAAGCGGGGCTGGTCACTCCAGGTGCTCGGGGCAATACAAGAGGAAACCCGACAGCTGAGTCACCCAGGGCCAGTTTATTCCAGAAGTAACTGCAGGGTGGGGGAATGGGAGAGAGGATGCCACAGGTCGCGATGGTTTGTCTCCAGGGCTCTCTGTCCGTCCACATCTGGAGAGGGGACTCCAAGCCATGCGTAGCGCAGTGGACCGGGCTGGCTCCGGGGAACAAAAGACCCGCATGCGCCCCCTCAGGAACCGGTTTCAGAGTCTTGGTTATTTTAGAAATGAATTATTGTGGGCGAGCGAGTGTCCGCACTCCGGAATTATTTCTTAGATCCAGAGAAGCAGTTGCAGGGAGGGGCGGATGAGCCAGGGCCCTCCGGGCTCAGAGACGCCGGCCTTGGCTAGCTTTCTCAACGTGTGATCTTATCTCTATTCTATGAGCCCTTCCACCCCACACCGCTAAGGGGACACCTGTTCTGAAACGCAGGTTTGCTTAGATCTCTGCCTGTCCCAACTCTCAGAGGAAATACAACTCTCTCTTGTATCCGGAGAATGTCCCGGATTGCCAGTAGAACCTCTTGGAGGCACGCAGGACTGGCGCCTGGTGGTTAGCTGTAGCCACCAGTGGGCTGGAATCCCGGTGAGGTTTGGAGCCAATTAAGCTGGCAGGGGTGAGGGGTGGAGAGTGGACAGGGTACTTTAAAATCTGCTTCCCTAACTTCAACTTTAAAGCATGTTAAACGGAGTTCGTTCTAAATGAAGTTTGTTTCCTATGGCGCTGCAGAGTATTGCCTGTATATGTACAATGTTTAAACTTTAGGTTAGTTACTTTAATAAAGGGGTTATAAACCCATACATACTTGCACCTTGGCATAATTGCTGCACAGCAGTGTGTTATCTCAGTGGTTGGTAAAATCCTGTGGTCCTAATAAAATTATTCTTGGGGAACCTGACCTGTAGAGAAGATACAGGTAACTGGTGCAATCCGACTGCTCTGGGAGAGAAGTGAAGTCCTTCTCAGGCAAGAGACACCAGGTCTTTCAGAGGCAGCAGCCGCTGAAAGTCTCTAGGCCTTATAAACGTTTTTTAAGGACCCCAGAAATTTTTCGATGAATCTTGTAGATCTTCAACCCCTTCCTCGTCTTTTCCAGCTCGGAGATCCACTAGAATCAGAATCATTTTTGTCCAAATTCTCCATCCCTGGACACAGAGAAAGAGAGCCAGAGGTGTTGGAGAATACCCAGGAGAATCCCAAGTTCAGGGAAAAGACTGAACTGAACACTGTTCCCAGCATGTTCATTGGCCTCGGTTTCCTATCTCTTTCCCCACCACTGTGAGTGTCACAGAGAGGAGCTGGCCCTTGGGACCCAGTCAAAGAGGCCATCTGTCATGGCAACTACAGGTGTCTCACATTTCCTTGGTGCTCTCTAGCCCAAGCTATATTTAGTGGATGGCAACTTTGGAAAACCACTTCAGTAAAAACAAGAGTTAGCACTGACTTTGAGGAAACCCTAAATGGGACTTGTTCCTAAAACCATGACCAGAGGGGCAACTCTTTTCTCTGTGTCCTGCCAGAGGCCCAACCCCTCTCCACCCCTGGGCCCAGGTATGAGCAGGCTCCCGGCAGGAATGGGTCTTGGGACAGGAATGTGGATCTCTGGATTTCCTGAAGCAGGTGGAGCTGTGAGCAGGAGGTTGAACTGGAGTGAAACTCACCAGCTCCAATCCTGCTAACTAGGCCCTTGCCCTAAAAAAATGCCGAATCTCTTCTTGCTGGGAACCTCTGGGTCTCCAGTGCTAGAATGTGGTCTGAAGGGGGCCAGTATGGGGAGAGGTTAGTTTAGGGCAGCGGTTCTCAACCTGTGGGTCGCGACCCCTTTGGGGGTCGAACGACCCTTTCAAAGGGGTCGCCTAAGACCATCGGAAAACACATATATAGTTACATATTGTTTCGTGATTAATCACTATGCTTTATTTATTCAATTTGTAACAATGAAATTGGGGGTCACCACAACATGAGGAACTGTATTAAAGGGTCGCGGCATTAGGAAGGTTGAGAACCACTGGTTTAGGGGCTACAGCAGCCTGGGATTCATACATCATTTCCTAGTGCAACAAACGGGTGTGTGTGTGTGTGTGTGTGTGTGTGTGTGTGTGTGTATGTGTCTTGTAAAAGTAACCTCTGGGATGCACCGCAGGGCAGGATGAGGGCCAGGGAGGAAAAGCTGCAGGGGATCAGAAAGACCTGTTTTTAGATTGGTAAAGCCTGCAGAAGAGCCAGGCTGGGGTCCACAGGCAAAGACATGTTTGTAACCAACCCCTCCATTCGGGCTGATCTTTCATTGCAAAGCCCTTATGAAGGGGAAGAAGGGGAAGGGCCGGGGAGCAGGGGCTAGCCAATGGAGGATCCACAACGGGGTAAAAAGAGACTTAAACAAAATTCCACCTAACACCCAGGCTCTGGTTTTTCTTTATGCGCGGGCATATGAAAAGTTCAGAAACTCAAAAATTAACCAACTACTCTCTTCCTCCCCCCCCCTCCCCGCCCCCCAGTAACGTCAGAGACTAGGAGCGCAGACACAATGGGTTTAAGAGGTGAAGCCTTTCACTTGGGCAGAGTTAAGACAAGGGAAAGGGAAAACCATGCACCTATAGGAATCCCTCGTCTTCCAAACGAGGGCGTCCCATTCCCCCTCAAGAAATGTTCCCCGAGCTGGGAAACAGTCCGGCTCCGGGATCAGCCCATCGTAGCCGCGCCGCCACGCAGGGCTTCAGATCTGCGTTCCCAACTGCCCCCAGGCCCCGCCGGGTTTTCCAAGACGCTTCCAGGTCCTGGGGAGGCTACAGCGGACCAGCCTTCCGCCGGTGCTACTAAAAGTTCTCCAACTGGGTTTCAGCAATTTAGGAGAAAAGGCGCCCAGCCTCTGCCATCGTGGGGCCGCTCCTCAGGCCTCGTGGGGCAGTTTGGTCAGGATCTGAGCGCCCTCCGACGTGATGACCACTGTGTGCTCGAACTGGGCGGACCTGAAACACACAGGGCAGCGGCGCTCAGGACTCGCGCTAGCGCCGGCGGGGCGGGGAGCGCAGCTCGCCAGCGCCGTGGGATGAACCTTCCCTTTCCAAACAATTGAAAAGTAATCACCTTTGATTGTCCAGGGAGACCACAGTCCACGCATCCTCCAGGACTTTAAATTCAGGGGACCCCTCGGTGATGATTGGCTCTGTAAGAGGGAAAATGTTTACTGCGTGAACTAATCAGATTCCTGTCAAACATTGTTTCCCGATTATCAAAAAAGAGAATAAGAAGGTTTCCCCCCTCCTCCTAAGTACTTCCCCCATGGGTTCATGTTGTCATATTGCAAGGGCTGATAATTGATGTTGCTTGCACAGTATACTACAAACTAAACAGTAGGAAGAGGAAACGTTACAGCATTCAAAATGTATGAAGTTGCCTAGTTCCTAATTTTTTAGAGGAATAAGGGCATTTTAATCAAGCCTTAATTAGGACCCTGTGGATAATAACCACCCAAACACCAGTCCCTCTTATAAATACCAGTGAGTTTTAAAAAAATATTTTAATTTTTTAAAAAAAATGCTCAAAATGTTCATTAATCAGTAAATAACAATTTTCTTATTTCACTCTAATTGCTTCTCCATTAAGTCCCAGTCAGAAACATGATGCCTTCCGGGTCTTAGGTGATTGGAATTTGTTGGCGATACCAATCACATGACCAGCCAGGAATGGGGCACAGAGAGTACATGCCACTGCTGACAGGGAGCAAGGGACATAATCGGCTCCAGTTACTGGGTGTTAATGAACACACACACACACACACACACACACACACACCCACACACACACACCAAAAACCCAAACACCACATTATGTCGGTAACAGAATTAGAGGGTGGAGGGCTGCCTCTCCTAAATGTGTCGGTAAGTATCTGATTTAGGAAGACGGGCTTGAGGATATTATTTAATCAGATTTGCTCTGCATCTGAATTATTTCATTATGCTGATTGGCTTTATTAGTCCTTCACGGGACTGCCTGGCCTAGGCCAGCGCCACTGCCGATGCTTCTGCTGGGGGAGCCGCAGCTCTCTGAAGAGGAGCTCCCGCACTGACCTATGGTGAAGGCCATTCCCTCCTCCATGAGTAGATCGCTGTCATTTGCTGTAAGAAATAAAAGATGGGGTAGGGGGAATGGGAATGGGAAATGGAGAAAAAGAAACAGAATTAGAGGAGTTGGGCTGCTAAAAAACACTTGGTAATTTCAGTATTTTTTTCTTTTGGGGTAGGAGGGTGGAGGTTTCTAGAATCCTGGGTGTTCACTAACAACCCAGGGTTAAACACAGGGCTCCTGGGTTTGTCATTGCACTTTCTGCACTTGGGGGTCAAGGCCTAGCAGGAGCATCCTGGGTTTTTTATACACTTGTCAGGATCCTCTGCTGCCCCGGCCACTTGCTATGAGGTCTCCTGGCTTTGCTGGGTCCTGGGCCTTGTGATCTACCCCCAATCCAAAGAGAAAGACATCTTGGGAACAGATGCAAAGAGAAGGCAGGCTACAGGAGGCAAGGTCAGGGGTGACTTCAAATTAGTCCAAGTGTGAGCTCTGGGTGGGGCATATGTCTAAGAGGCCCTTTCTGCACTTCCTCCTGGACCTCAGGTGGGGCTCTTTGGCCCAAAGGAAGTTCTGACCTGTTGCATCTCTAGGATCTTCCAGGGCATGGGGTCTAGGCAGTAGTTCCTCCAGCGACTACTCCCAAGTAACCAAGGGCGATGCCCACCTGCACAGGGTCCTTTGGTCTCTGGGGTGCTTCAAAGAACTGCCTCCTACCCTAACCCCAATCTCCTCCCCCCACCCCCTGCCCCCACTGCCTTGTGGTCCACCCTGCGTCCCCACTGTAGGGTGCACACCCAGGCAGTGAAAAACAGGAGATTCTGGGGAAGGAACACAGGGTGGGTATAATCTAGAAATCACTAAAGAGTACATGCTGCTAAATACATCAGCTGTCATCGCTGTGGCGGATGTGATGAAGTTTAACCACAACAGTCAGCAGTGAGAGAAGGGGGTAGAAAAAGGAAAACAGAAAAGTCATATGTGCATGCTGCTGGGACACTGATGCAGCGGCGTCTTGATTTCAGTAACTTTTCCTAGACAAATATTCCTTGTGCCTTCCAGCCATCACTCTTCAAGAGAAGACAAAAAGCAAAATAAATCTTATTTTGGGACTGAAACTACTGGGCAATAATCCAGTAACATAGTAACGTGCTGGTTCTGATTAATTACCCTTTGAATTCTAATTTTGAATCCACATACACATAAAGATGATAATGTGGATTCAAAGTTGGAACTTCAGGAGCAAAACTGCCTTATCTTGATTCCATTCAATTAATAGCTCCCAAATTAACTTTCTTACCGTGATGCCAAATTTCTGGATGTCCATGAAAGTAAGATCCTATCCCATGTCCCACAAAATGTGAACAGACTTGCAAACCATTCTGATGAGTAATGTGGCTTTAAAAGTGACCAAACAGAATATTTAATTTAATTAGATATGTTTTTAATGCATTCCTATATAAAACAAAGTCACTTAAAATATATGAAATAGATAAATCAGTTATATTTAGAGTCAGATAATGACAATGTTTTCATTATTCTGGAATAAATTAAATATTTTTTTGCCATCGCTTGTAAAACTCCCTTTGGATAAATGAAGAAAAAAGGTATGTATCTAACGTACAGTAGTTTGCTTCATTGACCTTAGCACAATGTTCAAAGAAGACCACTTTTAGACAAGTGAGTGTGCCACACACATATATAGGTCAATATAACCAAGATACATGTGCATATAACGCAGGTCATAAAAACCTGCGTGGGTGTATGGGGTTTCACAAAAAGACTATGCAAATTACTACTAAGTTGGGAACCAAACAGAGAAAAAAATTTATAATCTAGAAATGTGACTTCCTACTTCTATAGTTCCCTTATTCTGGTCTATTTCAAAGCATTATACATTCTGCAAACAGACATTCGCACAAAAGGTCAAATCTGCTTTGTCTGTATTCTTGAAATAGTACAAAACTTTGGGATCATTTAGGATTTCTCCTTAAGACTTACACCACAAAGAGGAATCATAGCCCTAGCCAGTTTGGCTCAGTGGATAGAGCGTCAGTCTGCAGACTGAAGGGTCCCAGCTTCAATTCTGGTCAAGGGCATATGCCCAGGCTGCAGGCTCGATCCCAAGTGTGGGGCATGCAGGAGGCAGCAGATCAATGATTCTCTCTCATCATTGATGTTTCTATCTCTCTCTCCCCCTCTTTCTTCCTCTCTGAAATCAATTTAAAAAAATAGAGGAATCATAAAGAATGCGTTTTAACCATTGGGATGCTTAAGAAAAACTAGTATTATGATTCCTAATTCTTAATGCTTCATTTGTTATTTCTATATACACATCATTTAGGTTCCATCTATTCCGTATAAATAAAATATGGTACATATACTCCAACCATAAAATCTTCACCTACAAGGTTAAGAAGTTGTTTTTGAAATTAGGTGCACATGTTTTATTTCTGGGAGTGCAAGAAAGACAAGAACATATATACCATTAACAATTTTTATATTTTCAGGTGGATGAAGGGCACAGTGCCTGAATCCTAACCATAACAATGGATTGGGATTTACAAGATCACTATTTAAATTGTTAACAAAACCAAAGTTCTGAGATCCCAAACTGGAGTTTCCAAAAGACCCTCCATTTAGTTTAATATGAGCTCAAAGGCATTTAGCCAGAATCTTTATGAGCGTGCATGTTGATGTGCTTTTCTCTCAACATTTTTAACCTTCATCTCCAGACCTGTGAAATATTGGATATCGCTCTACACAGCAGATAGGCAGACTCTCATTCAGATTTAATTTCCTTGTAACTGACAACACAGAAATAAGTAAGCGATGCATGTGCTGAGGACTGGAATGATAAATCAATCTTTTTTTAAATCTAAGTTGTATTTTATGGTTATTTCCACGTATCTTTGCACTTTGGGCGGGTTAAACAAATTTCCCAAGGCCTTTCTATTTGTACCACACAATTTCTGAATAGAAACTGAGGATGAAGAGTGGATAGGGGGTGGAAGAGAGATTATGAAATAAGATATAATGATCTAGGTTTTTGTTGTTGTTTTTTTACAAAAATGGGCTCTATCTAAACCTGTAATGTTACTTCAGTTTCAACAAATCTCATTGATTCTAAGCGCATTCAATATAAACTGTTCTCCTATTTTTTTAAAGGAAAAAAACCACCTAGGTTTTTAAAAAAGGCTCTGATTGGCAGGCATCACAGCTACATCTTAAATGTGCGTTACACTGGCAATCTTCATTTTAATTTCCGATGAGAGGAGAGGAGAGGAAGAAAGCCCACTCTGAAAAAACACTTGGGGATCCACCCCCCTCCCCCCATCATACCTCTCATTCCTCTTCATAAAAGAAGCTCTGCAATTACTAGGTGGCTAAAGATATCTGAGTGCATTCTCCTACAACAATTTACTGCCTGGATCCCGCTGGAACTCCCAGCTATTGGAGTATCATAGACTGTATCTGTCATGGATGCAAAGGTCAGAGGGGTTCACCACCGTGGGGGAAAGAGCAGGACACATTTCCTTCAGTTTCTTTGTTGAGCGCCCATCTCAGTGCTCGATTCCCAGGAGCTTAGTATATACCCTTCTGTCTGCTTTCCTTTTGGATTGGTAGTGAGCTTTTTTTACACATACCTACAGGGACTAAATAGGATAAAAAGTCTCATCCATGTTCCAAATTGCTATTTCAAAGCACACCCCTTCTATTATTTTGGAATACATGGGAAGCAAAGATTATTTACCTAATTCTAGGGTTTAAATCTAACTTCATAGAGACAAGCCAAATGACTTGTAGTAGCAAATGCTACTCTAACATGAAAGCGAGAACTGGTCCCCTTAATCGTGGCACGGGAAGGTGGAGCACGTGTGCTTCCCTTGACGGTGTGTTGGGGAACATGGGAACAGCTGGGTGGGCAGGGGTGCCCAAGAAGTGCGGCAGGTGTTCCCCAACACCAGCCACCCTAGGGTCATGACCCATTTCTGAGCACAAGGGTCTCCTGTCCTGGACATTTTGCCTTCTTTTTCCTGAAATCTATTGAAAAGAACTCTTATGGTTTTAGCTCTTATTTTTTCCCCCAACTAAAAATCCTCTAAGATAGTAGGGCACCTCTGCATGAGCCTGAGCACATTTATGATTTGCAGCCCATATAGAATATTTGGGGGGAGAGAGGAGGGGAGAGATGATGTATAAAAGTAATTTATAAACTTACTTTTAAATTATACTGTATTATTACAGTTCATGTGTCAGTTACAGTTTGTAGTTGAAAGAAAAATCTCACTTAAGGAATTTCATCTTGTGACCATTTTCTTTAGTTTATTTCCCTTTCATGGAGGTAGTTTTTCTCAACTGAAATATTAAAAGTCTCAATAAATAATTAAAATTCTTAATATATTTCAGCTACTTTTTTATGACTAAGACTACATTCCCCAAGAGGGCAGAGGAGTCCAATATTTAAGTACATACTCTTCTAACAAAATAAAAATGCACATGGAAATAGTTTTATTACCATTTTACATGAATCTTTTAAACAGAACTATTCTCTAAATGGTCACATCTCTAATTAAAGGATCTTAAATGGCAACTGATATTCTAAGTTATGACATTTTAGCTTAATGTTTCCAGATTTTTATTTTAAGAAGTAGTCTTTTAATGAAGGAATGCACAATCCAATGATTGCTTCTAATGACAAGAAATGTTGAAGTATAATTAGTAATATTTTTGAAAGCCAGTAATTGTTTTCCAAAAGAGTGGTACTTTTTTGTTGTTGTTGTTTCAAACTGGACCACAAATTACTGTATTTTTCTTGAACTTTTATTTGAGGTTTTTTGTTTCTGAAAAGCAGACATGATGGATTGAAATAAAAGATAATTTATTGCAATGCTTACTTTCATGTGCAAAGAGAAGCAGTATAATTGTAATTTACAGTAGCTGTCAAGAAAAATCCATCACAAATGACATTAAAATGACTTATTTTGCCTGAGCCACTTATTGTTTAAATGTGCATAATCTAATAGAAAGAGATTATTTTTCAAAATCTGCTTTATATTCTTCTAAATTAATATCAAAACATATACTTATGAATTAAACATTAAAAACCGTTTATTGATACTTTCATCATGACATTTACAAGTATAAGTTTAAATTATTTTTGATTGAACTGTCACATATTTGTGATGCATGAATCTACACATTCACAATATTCTCATATGTACCGATCGTACCATCTAGATATAATTATGAAAATACAGATTTAGAAATATTCAAAGCAAATGGAGCTACAGTGAGGATAATAACACACTGTAACCTAAAGATCACTAGCTCTCATGAAACAAAAGGACACCCAGAGAAGGACTGTTTTCATTAAACTCTTTTGGCCAATACTTTTCCAGAGATATCATCCTATCCTTCAGGTTTCAGAGAATTAAAAAATTTCCTATAAAGATCATTTGATTTTTGGTAACAGAATACTAATAAAAGATGCTTGAATGTTCTTTTCATGCTGTATCAGTAGAGGGAGGCCATGCAAAACATGGTAAATATCTTAAAATAAACGAGACTGAGTTGAAAGATGTTTGTAAACCTTAGGTCTGTAACGATTCCAAGTACTTTGGCATAAAGGTGGAGATTGTTTGTTTATTTACTCCCTTGAGAGTTTGCCTGAATAAGAAAAGGTGAAATAATAGATGTCCAGAAACACTGCCTTAACCCATTAGAGCAAACATTTGTTAGAATCTGGGCCAGTTTCCTGTCCGGTGGAGACATAAACCATCGAAATAACGAAATGTATTAGGGTAAAAGTAAAAAGTTCATTGTCTGTTATTTTTTATATAGTTTTGTAAATGCTGTTGGGACTGATCTGGTTTTCAAAGGAGCTGATACACACAAATTTGTACTCTGCAAAAAGTGACCTTTACATTTAAATAGCTAAAATCTAATGTCACTTTCAATTCTACTCTTCTTTTTTTTTTATGTATCTAGAATTAATGTAGTGAATATGTAATGAAATGCATTATCCTACATAAAGATTTATCAGATTTCCCGACTGAATGCTAGGCTTTGCTAGCACTAGCTGGAATTCACCTGCATGTTGGTGTGGCGTGTGGCTCTTTTTTGTAAACAGTTAAGTCGTACACAAAAAAAGGGAACAAAGGTCAGCACCCAGCCGCCACTTGAATGTGAGATTTTTCTTTTTATTCCCCTTGATGTATACTAGGCTCTGTGTTATTAGTCTTAATGATGGAAAATTGTAGTGTTGATACAAATCTTTTTTTCAAAGTAGTAGGCGGGAGCTCCATTTGTTAGTAAGTTTTTTTGTGACTAAAAGCCACGGACAGTACATTTATGTAGCAGTAAAAGGCCTAGATGCTCTTTCCATAGCAGAGCTAATTATTCCTACTGTGACCTTACTGATCCAGCCTGTTCCTAGTACATCTCATCTGCACGCCTGTTCCTCTGTGTAGATGGTGTCAGGGAATATGAAAAACCCTATAATGAAACCATTTTCATGATGGAGAAAGGCTACTGGAGTTGCACTTGCTACAAAGAGGCTCAATTATATGAGTAATTGTGATAATTTTCTACATTCATAGCCTTCAATGGGGAAAAAAGAATGAGAGCCACAAAGGAAAATTACTTTAACAAGAAAGTACAGAGAGTAAAAATGGAAGAAGAGACAAAAAAAGGGGAAAAAATAACCAGAAAAAAAGTTTAAAAAATAGATCTGGAGGGAGGAATAGCGAGACAGGGAGAACAACAGAAATGCTCAAAAGCCCATGTGCAGCTGTGTTGCACAATTAAATTGAATTTTTTTTCCTGCAGTTGATGAATGTGACTACTGCAAATGTGCCTCTGTAGTTAGCTATCATTTGTTGTTCCGTGACAGGAAAAGGATAATTACCTCTCAGAGAGAATCAAAGGCTGACATGCCCTTTAGACACAGCCATGAATGCAGAGCTCGATAGAATGCTTGAATAAGAATCTAGTGTTCTCTGCCCCCTTCCACTGAAGAATAAATTTTGTTAAAATGCAAGAACACCACCAGTAAATTTGTTGAACCCTAGGTGTTCAAAAATATGAGGTACATCTATCGACTCATCCCATTTGCAAAAATAAAACTGCATTTTGAATTCGTTTCTATTATATTCATGGACAGTAAGATAGTGAGATATGCATTAAATTTCTTTTCCCAGTAGGGGTCTGATTCAACATTTCCTATGAAAGAACAGAGAGACACTATCCCTTTTTCCCAGGCTAGTTAGCCTATAATTTAAAACTGTCAAAAACACAATTTTGTTCAAAGTCTTCAATAAAAGCTTCTCAGATATAACCCAAAGAGATTTTACTAAAGTTTGATTCAGACACTGTTACAATATTTTTAAAGCCATAAATACATTTAACTGCATTTTTCTTAAAGCATTTGAGGGCTTATGAAAAAAAAAAGGCACCATCTTTACAAGGTGACTAAGTTGTCCATCCTTCAGACAAATGGGAAGCATTCAATGGTTCATATTAATGAGAATAGTACTTTAAAAGGTACTGATGTGGTCATCTTTAACAAAATGTACTACTTTTAAATAAAAGCAGCAACCATATATTCTGCATGTCTACTTCAAAACAGTTATGGGGGAAAAAGATCTAAAAGTAGGCAACAGATTACAAAGAAGAAGTCTTGAATTCAGAAAATACACATTTACTAAAAAAGCAAGTACAGAATGCTGTGTGGAAAGTAAACAATGGTTTACAGGAAAAATGAACCAGACCCAACAGAACAGATCACCCTTTCAGGCTGTTTGCTAATCCACTGATTTGAATGGTAAAGCTTGCTTGAGCTTAGGCTTTTTACCTCTGCATCACATGAGTATGTTTATTTCATTCCTTTAGAACACTTAGCTTTTCTCCTGTCTCATCATCCAAGTGTTAGGATGCTTAGCTCCTTCTTAGGTACTTTCTTCCACGTCTGGTGTGATTTTGAGTAGAGGAACACTACAGACCAACATGTCAAGCTAAAACAAAAGCAGTCTACAAATATTGCTTGCTGCTTCTATAAATTTCTTTGCTGACCCTGATATAATTCACTTTTTCTTTTTTTTTTTTAACTCAGGGAACAACACTGCAGTTCACATACTGATATCAGACTGAAATGATGGTTCTGAATCATAAAACATGTCATCAACTTTATACCAAGCCACCAATAACCTTGCACCATTTGCCAACCCTCCCTTTACTTGTCAGTGTCAGGCTTACCTGATTGTGTTTCCAATTACTGAGAAGGGAGCCCCTGCTCTGCAAGCTGCAATGGCTTCATCTCTACACCTCCTGGCAACCGCCACTAACTTTCTACCACATTCATCCACATTGCCCACCAAGAACGTTTCAGAGGTGTCTCCATGGTAGCCGTTGTAATAGACCTAAACATAGGCAGAAATTTAATAACTTGTTGTTTAAAAATCTACTCTTCTAAAGTATATATTGGATTCATTTGTTTTAGCCTTCCAGAATTACTCTTAAGTTCACCTACAAAAAAAGAAATAGATATGCTGAGATCTTACAGAAATTTAACAGATGAAGCCATGCAATAATATTACACAATTTAGAATAAATAAGTGACTAGTGTGGCTATTTCAGCATTCTGATTGGCAATGCTATAGCAGCATGTTGATTCTTCACTTTATTTTTGAAAAGACAAAACTATATATGCAAAATTTAGTGGCCAAAGACATTGACCCACAATTATTACAATAGGTTGAACCCAGCAATATTTAACATAGTGAAAAGTTTCTTCAATGTCATGAAGATATTCAATCTCTTATTTACCACTTCTATGCTTGGAAGTCATAGATAATGACAATAAATAAGACAGACATGTCAATATTATATAGACAGTGGCTCAATATAGGAATGAAAAATCTTGCCTGGAAATGAAATCTTAATTCAATGTTCCAGATAGCAGAAAACACTACACATCAATATTTAAAGACTTAGAATATAAGATAACAGTATTAAGAATAAAAATTATTTAAAAATTAATTTTATCAGTATACAATGATTCAGCAGTCCCTATATGATCTTGAAAGATAACAGATTCATTATAAAAATCAATAATTACCAAACACTACAATAAATATAAAAGGCTGAGAAGATTACTAGAATATTGATCCATCGTGTAGCATGAAATGTGCTATTTTGCATAAATTTGTCCTATGCAATTATTTTTCACATTTCTCTTTCTCAAGTAGAAGTAGGATGCAGAAACTGTTATAAGAATGTTTATCTGAGCTTTCTGTCTGTTTAATACTGAATTAATAACTTAACTCTGTGTACAATTCTGCATTTAAAAAATACTCTCCCACACACTGTGAGGGGAACAGGAAAAGTCTTTATTATGTCTTCATTTTAAAAGTCAGTAAACTGAGGTAAACAAGTAACTTGTCTAAGGTTAGTGGCAGAATACAGAGGTGGATCCACATTAATATGATGAATTATTGGCTTCTAATCCAGTGTTTTTTTTTACTGTATAAAAGTATCTTAAATACTTTGCAATAGAACAGTGTTCTATATATTTATTCCCATTTGCAACCCAAGAAAGTACAAGTTTTAATTTTATATACAAGTATATAACATTTACTAATAAAAGAGTAATTATTTAAAAACTCTGTAGCTCTGAATGTTTGCATAACTGCTATTTAAGTAAAAGTGTATTTAAAAAATATTTATTTGCCTTTTCATATTACTTTTGCTAGCTTTCAAAATGACTCCTTGAAAGAGTCAATATATATGGCAATAACAATACTTTTGAAAGTCTGTGACAGGTTATCTATAATTACTGTTTATACCCACAAACTATTCTTGTTTTGTACTTCATTTATTTAACAAATATTTATTGAGCAACTACTATGGGCACTGCATAGTCTATTTTTAAACATTCAACTTTCAAGGGAAAAATAAATCTATTTTCTTGTGATATATACTAGACATAAACAATTATAACATGCAATGAGTATTTTCTAATATAATATGAAATCTAATATGGAATCTTTCACTTAATAAAATATTTCAAAAGAAATATAATTTGTTCAGATACTAACCTATATATTTCCTTGACTCCTTCACATTTCTAAACATTGAAAATATTTCACTTTGCTTTATGAATTTTGCAATTATAAAATTATTGAATGTTAAAAATGGAAGTATGTATGAAAAGTCTTCAGAAAATGTAGAAAAGGCATGGAATATTCTCCTTGAACACATTGAAAGCAGCAGGGAAGAGTATGCTTGATTTCACTGAAAGCAGCAATATTTTATTAGGGGGTGATTAGGTGAGAAAATAAATGTAAAACCCCCAAATTAGGTACAATCCAAAAGAAAAGTGTATCATGAAAAATACTTTATTTCAGGTACACTTCGTAAAATACCTCCTTCTACATGATTCTGAGTTTGAAAGATACCAACAGAATATGAATAGAGCAAATGTTCAAGTATTCTAAGTAGGACACAATGATAGGAAAGAGTATTAGCAATAAAAGAACCTTTGCCTATACTGTCACACAAACTGATATGAAGAAAAAAAGATTAATTAATTTGAACAATTAAAAATCTGACTGAACTCAACTACTGGCTGCCAATTTCCACCTCATTCCCACTCCTACCTAGGTTTCATGATCTGGATATAGAATAACTATTATTAAAAACATTTCCTCTGTACCCTTATGTTCACTGAAGCACTATTTATAATAGCCAAGATCTTGAAGCAGCCCAAATGCCTATCAGTAGATGAGTGGATAAAAAGCTGTGGTACATTTACACAATGGAATGCTACCTGGTCGTAAAAAAGAAGGAAATCTTGCCTTTTGCGAAAGCATAGATGGACCTGAAGAGTATTATGCTAAGTGAAATAAGCCAGTCAGAGAAAGATAAATATCATATGATCTCACTTATATGTGGAATCTAGAGAACAAATAAACAAATAAAACAGAAATAGACTCATAGGTACAGGGAACAGACTGACAGCTGTCAGGGAGGAAGGGGACTTGGGAGCCTGGGTGAAATAGGTGAAGGGATTAACTGAAAAAAATAACAAACTCATAGACACAGACAACAGTATGGTGATTACAGAGGGAAAGAGGGATGGGAGAGGTAAAGAGGGAAAGGGAGATAAATGGTGATGGAAGGAGACTTGACTTTGGGTGGTGAACATACAATACAATATACAGATTATGACCCAGTAGGTATGGCTCAGTGGTTGAGCGCCCATCTATACACAAAGAGGTCACTCGTTAGATGCCTGGTCAGGGTACATGCCTAGGTTTCAGGCTCAATCCCCAGTAAGGGACATGGAGGAGGCAACTGATGGATGTTTCTCTCTCATCAATGTTTCTATCTCTGTCTCCCTTCCTCTCTCTCTAAATATCAATAAAAACATATTTTAGAAAAAAAATACAGATGATGTATTATAGAATTGTATGCTTGAAACCTATATAATTTTATTAACCAATGTAACCCCAATAAATTCAATAAAAAATTCAAGCAGAAAAATATTTCTTCATTAATAGAAACTGTAATCCTTGAATACTATCTATCTCAACTAGTTCTCATCAGATGTTTAAATGATAGTTATTTAAAATTTATTTATCAATCATCAGATGTATAGAATTTATTTATAATCTACATAATCCAAAGGTATCATTACCAAACTTTTTAGCAAGATGAACTGCCAAAGCACAAATACGCCACGTCTGAAAATAGTCAAGGGCTAAGAATATTAGAAAAGGTTTAGAGCTTGTACATTTGAAGTTCCTAGGCTAAATTATTTTGGGTTGTTATTTAAAAGAAAAGCTGTTAACCATTTGACGAAAACTTAAGTTTAGAGAGAAAACCATTCTGCTGGTATGCTTTGAGTTCAAGGCTCTCTATACCAGAAATGGAACATGGTGCTACCTTCAGGGATTTTAATAAATCTAAGAACACTGCTAGCAAAAGAGTTGCTGTCCAAATAGACTGACACACACAGGCCAACGTAGCCTCTAATGACAGAGTAAGATAATGACAGGCCCCACTCAAAATCAGCAGGAAGAGGAAGATCAATCTTGGCAGAGTGAAGGAAAAATGCTGGCTTTCTTCGTGTTAGCTCATCTCATACATATCTAGCTTCAGCAGCTGCCCAGTGCGGCGGTGCTCTGCATTAACTACACAGTGGATCAATAACAATTACACCTTCTCAAAAACATGACACATAGCAGGATTGGGTTGACATTTCACTTAGGCCAACATTGATCTCAGTGCATCTGATTCCAGCCCTAAATTCAAGTCAGGCCTGGGTTTACTTGGAATAAACAGAGTTAAAAACAAAAAAGGAAACCAGCTGCTTGTGTCTGGGTCTAGAAGTAAACAGCACTTCCACATTTTCAATCCACTCTTCTTCCTGTTGCTACCAGCAGTTCTGAAGTTGATCAAAGACTATTTTTTATATGATTTACTCACCGTGACATCAATGTTGATAATATCTCCATCCTGAAGAGGTCGACTGAAACATAAACAGGAAAAAATGGTGATAGACAGATCTCAATAAAAGGGATATAAAAATAAATACCTAATGACTACTATCACAAACCCAATGAGTTGCAATGATAATTTGGAGTAAAGGAGGAATAAATGGAATAACTATATCTAATCTTTAACTTATGTTAGTCACATCAAAGTTTACAAGAAATATATAGTAGGAACATATTGCTATTTATAAAAGTCTACGTCTTTTAAAAAAATGTACTTATTAGTTACCTTAATTTTGCAAAGAGCCAAAACAGTTGATAACTAATATTTACCTACAATTGGATTTTTAGCATTTATACGGTTAAAATCTAAGGACATTAAAGAAATAACTATTTTTTTGGATTACAGACTGCTTTAACAAACATTAAATGGGGGTAGCATGTGCACTTAGAGGCAAAATACTTCAAATTTTTGTTTTAAGATAATCAGCTTCAAAAGTTTGCAGGTGGGTTTCAATTAAACAATAGTGTCTTTCACCATATGTTATAGATCTTAGTTTCATGTTTTAGTTTCCAAAGGAACAATATGTTATTAAGCAATGAATACCTGTCAGGAATACCATGACATAGCACGTTGTTTACAGAGGTACAAACAGATTTTGGAAAGCCTCCATAGCCTAGAGGTGAGGGATAGGCATCATGACTGATGATTTCCTGATGAACAAGAGCATCTATCTCTTCAGTTGTCATGTCAACCTAAAATATTAAATAAAGAAATTGTGCAATGACAGCTAAAGACATTTCCTGTTTTTATTGACTATGCTTTTAGCTACAGCACTTCCAAGCAAGAGTATATAAATCTACTGTGATAAACTTGTAGTACAAAATGTTAATTAATTATGATTAACATTAAAATCCTAAATTGTGCCTTTTTGACAATCATTTAAGTATATGATGATGCTATGGACTATTAGGAAATAGAAAATTTAAAACTCTTAAGATCCTTCAGATAATTTGTTAGTCATTAAATGACATGACTCCTTTTTAGATTGAACATTTCAAAATTATGTCCTTAGGTGATTCCTTCCTCTTCCTCAATGGTTAGTAACCTGGGTTAACAGAAACATATAAATAAATACTCAAATGGCTCATCAGTTTAGATGACAAAGCTTGCAAATTAGGTCAACCCATATCTCAGAGGAACATTACATGGGTTTTGCAGCAATGGCATAGAAATGATGAATCATCATGTAAAAAACTGAGTCTGATACATATTTTATAGATTTCATTTTCACTGATTTTGATTTCTTTCATACCTAAATAAGTCAATGTTTTCTAAAAATATTTTTCCTCTTAAATCCACACATAAAAGAAAAAATATAATCTAGTTTTGTGAGCACATGAAGTCTATCTTAAACACATAAATCATGAATAAAATTCTAAAACAAAATCTTTTATTAAAAGTGAACTATTTCTTCAATAATTTCCTGTGCTATTTTATATTCACATTATGTTTAGTTATGTTGCTATAACAAGAGTATGACCCAGATGGTACCTTAAGTGATTTCATCGTTGAGCTTCACCCACTTCCTAAACTCTGCCCACCTTTTTGAAACTACAGGCCCATATTTTTGTTTATGATCCGTATACAGCAGAGTGTTTCTGATTATGCTGAAAGGACTAAATCTTGTAGTAAGACGGGTGTAACAATTACATTGCTCTATTACCCATAGCTTTGTGTATCTGGTCTGATCTTTCTTTGCAGAGCTAATGCAGGAAAATAGTAGACAAAGACTGAGGCAAGCAACTCCTCAGGCACACGGAAATAACGTGGGGAATGAAAGCAGGAACTACAGGCAGGAGGACGGGGGCAAAAGTCAAAGCCGGCTGCCACTGATCAACTTGCATAGGCTGATTGAGCCCAGAGCATCTCCAGAATTCTATTTAAAACTGAGTCTGGATTTTAAACAATCTCTTGAATACACACATAAAACAATACAATCCCCTTCCCCCATCCCAAGGCTTTCCTTAATTATTAACAAATTACATGTGTACAAAAGAAGAGTTAAAGGGAAAGAGGAAAAATAAGAGGGTTTGATGCCCCTCATGTAAGTCCTTCTGAGGTTTGGTGAGACGCCACCTTTAAACTCTTCCCAGCCAGGAGGAGGACATGACGGGCCAGCTGACAGGCCTGACGAAGCCCTTGAATCTGATCTTCATTCTTAACTTCTATGCTGTCTCCCCAGTCGGGTACAATGCCTGTCGTCACATAGTCTGGCTTCTTTATGTGCTTGAGGAAAAAGGATTGAAAACGAAGATCAGAACCCAGCGCACGACAATGGGATCATTTTTTCGGACACAGCCTCCTACTTCATGGAGCTCTGCCCTTCCTGCCGGAGCACCGACCTCCAAAGCCAGCACAACAGACCCTCCAGGCTGCCCCCAGTTCCTTCCCCTGCCCTTTTGAACTTAGCATTGCCTGTTAGTGCTGTCTCTGGATGGTCTATTAACCTTACTGTGCTTTGAGTCAAACTGGACTGAAGTAGTCTTCTGGTCAAAACTAACAGTAGTTTCTTTTCTGCCTTCTCCCAACCCCGTGAGAAGCACACTGTCATTGATGAAAGATAGCACCAAGCTTCCAAATTGTCAAATGGCTAATTAAGAGCACTTTCATCTTCTTAACACAGAGATAAAATTTACGCAAAGGATAGCTCACAACACCTTCTCTTAATGAATTTATGTAAAAGACTGACTGTCAAGGCCACTGAAGCCTATTACATATACACTTTTCTTACACCTCACAACTGTACCCAAACTAATAAGGGACTAGAGAATAAAATAAAACAGCTTTTTCCCCCTTTCTCTTTCTTTTTAAGTACATTAAAATACACAGAGTGCTTCTATCATCTGTCAAAAAATAACAAAGTATCCCCCCCAAACTCAAAACATTCGACTCGGATTACCCTGATAGAACATTCTCCATCACTTACTTAAATCCATGGGCAGTATGCAGAAAAGACACTGTCTCACACACAGAGCTTCTCTCAGTCTCAAAGTTTTGCACAGATCTTTACAAACTACTTATGGAAACTGCTACATCAGTATTGTTGACAGTACCCAGTCAGGCTACACAGGAGATAGGGACAGGGAGCTGAGAGAGAGAACACTATTCAATTGACATCACAGCAACTCTGGAAGGGCAACAGGCAGGATTGAAGGACCTTCACCTTTCTCGTGTCAGACGGTCCTTTCTGACATGGGTAACGCCACTGCCCAGGTTGCCACGGCTGAGCTCTGGCGGAGCATCTCTCGCCAACAGCTTTCCCACCAGTGCCCACAAAAGCTCCCAGTCTCCCCCACAGACTCTGTGCTCTTGTCTCTGCTTTGTGATCGGGCTAGGTTACAACTACAGGCAGAAGGGCTATTGGACTATCCCTGAAATTCTAAAACAATACATTCCCCTCTCCAGAGATGTTTTTTTTCTTTTCTAACTAAGAAAATACCAGGAACATACTTTGGGCTCTGGTGGCCTGTCTTGTCAGTCCTTGCCACAAAACTAGGTCACTCACCTTCAGGAAGTATAGCATACTTAATGTGGGTTCAGTGTAAAAAAATGTATAAAGGGGAAAGCAGGTGATTTTTGTCACAAATCTGAATTTCGTTCAGCTTTTCTTGTTCTTCCTAAATAACCCGCACACCTCTTTTATATTGCATTAAAAAAAAGGGGATAGATTGCCTTTCCATAAAATTGTAATCTCTAGAAAAAAAGTCAAGAATGCTGAGACAAGGTGTTTAATTTACTGTAAAGAAGATTCAAAGACAGTAGCATTAATAACATGAAGAGCAAAAGAGCAGACTTTAGGAAAAAAGATCTAGTGTATTAGTTTCAAGTAATCTCTCTTGAATGATCACAGTGTTATAGTCAATTTTTTTCTCAAAAAAACTACATACATGTAGTTTTATCTTCATGTTAAAATTTAATAGAGAAAGTTATATGATAGAAATTTTAATTCTAAACAAGATAAGCAATTGTAAGCTCATCTCTTTATCTAAAAAAATTAACATCATAGAACGGCAGGATGTTAAAACTTCTCAAATGACAATTTAAAATCACAAACCAAGTTTAAAAATTATGATTCAAATAGCTTAGAAATCAAAGGTGCAAAAACATTTGATTGCTTCTGCAGCTAACCTTTATCTTGGCTGGAAAAAGCAGCAGATAATAGGCGATACAGTACCTTAGGGACTGGATGAGCTGAAGAAACTGCAGCAGGCAAAACTATACTGTGTGAAATATCTCTTTGTCTCCGGAAAAAGAAATTTCTTCTTTGTTGACTGCTTGACTGCTTGTGTAAGTAGATATGATTGAGTGGTGAAGAGAAGATTCTATGACAACCTAGGAGCAGAAAGAGACATGTTTTAAGTAAAAAAAAACAACAACACCTAACATAGTGCTACATTTTAAGATGTTGTGTTGTTGCCTATTAAATCATTATTCTAATCCTTTACTGACTCAAAGAGGAAAAGCCCCAAATAGAAAGAAAAGCAGTGGCATTCTCAGTTCTAATAAAATAGTAGCACAGCATATTTATTAGCTAATACTATGTTTACATAAATGTTTGACAATGGAAAACTCTACCCTAATGGGAAATAAACATATAGAAACATCTGCTGAGCACCAGGTCTGTAAAAAGAACCATTTCTGCTGTGGTACCTTACGCAGCAATGTCCTGGGTGACCTGAAACTCGGGGCACTGTTTGGGTGGCTTTTCATTCTTTAAAGCCGTGAAAAATCATGGACAAATTGCCAGCTGCACTTTTTGCCCTCGATCTCATTACTACTCTGTGTTAAGTTCATGTGCAATGAGGCATCATACTGAAATTCATTGCGATGAATGTTCAAGTCAAATAAAGACTAGATAGCAAAAATGTAGGGTGTAACCCTGAAAAAAGATGAATATAGGTCCTAAATTACCCACAACAGGAATTTTGAAATATCTATCATCTTAAATGCACACATCTTTTGACTCAGCAATTCACCCTCCTAAGACTTTACCTTGCAGATATTATACAATGATGGATACATGAAGATGAACCCTACTGCAGCATTGTTTGTGGTAGGAAAAATGGGAAATAACTCAAATGTCCATCAGTAGGGGACTGGTTAAATATATTATGGTATATCTACACAACTATGGACCTATTAAAGAGAATAAGCTAAATCATCTCTAAGTATTGATATGGAAAGAGGTCACAGTACATTGCTAGGAAAATAGCAAATACTGAACAATACAGGGTGGGGCAAAAATAGGTTTACAGTTGTTCATGTGGAAGATAATATAATAATTAATAAGTAATAATACAAGATAAACTCTGCTTGGCGTACTCACAATTGTGAACCTACTTTTACCCCACCTTGTATGTAAAACTGCCCATTAATGTAAAAAGAGCTTATACATTTATATATGTTTGAATATACCTAGAATATTTCTGAAAATTGCTATTCATCAATATTGTTTACTTCTGGGACATATGATTGGGGCTGGGGATGAAGACTTCTTGAATCATTTTATTTTCTTCTAAACTGTTAGATTTTTTAAAAAAACATTTACTTGCATAATTTTTATAATTAAAACGGTAGTTTTGGAAACCTCCAACATATCATAATTGCATATCAGGAATTGGCAAACTATAGCCCAAGGCCAAACCTGGCCTGCTGCCTGTTTTTATACAGCCCACCCGCCTAAAATTGATTTTTATGTTTATAAATGGTTGCAAAAATCAAAAGAAAAATGTTTTGTAATGTATGAAATTCAAATGTCAGTGCTCCTAAATAAAGACTTATTGGAATAAAGCTACCCTCATTTGCTTTCAATTGTCTATGGCTGTTTTTGAGCTATAGGGGCAGAGTTGAGTAGTTGTGACAGATCTGGCCCTTTACAGAAGTTTGCCTACTCCTGATCTAGAGCACTGGTTCTTAAAATGTGGTACCCAGGCCAGCAGTTTTAGCATCATATGAAAATGATGCAAATTCTTGGACCCCTCCTCAAACTACTGATTCAGAAACTCTGGGATAAGGCCAGCGATCTGTGTTTTAATGAGCCCTCAGCGTGATTCTGATGCACACACAAGTTTGAGAAGTACTGGCTTAGAGCGACCTTACAGCTGTGAAACATAATGGAAACACCAATTGCAGATGAGTACTGGCCCCCAAATCCATGATCTCTAAGTGATTTGGAGAAAGGCATGGGATGCAAACAAAGCCCAATGGTCAGTGATTGAGTGTCTTAGATTTTACTCAATTATATTCTTCCATAAAGATCAGTTTAATATTGTTGCATTAAACTTACAGAGGTGTTTTGGGTATTATTTTAAATAATTCCAAATACCAGACAAAATGTCAGTAATGTCACTTTAAAAAAAGTAGCCTGAAGTATGTACATATTCTCTAAAGCTTGTAAAGTATAATATTTCCATCACTATTCCAAGACTGTCAAATGGTATATGGATGTCAGGGTAGTATCCCAGGAAAAGCAGATGATTAGAAAACCGAGGTCTAGAGTTTCATCTCAGCTCTACCACTTGCTAGCTGTGGTCTTGAGCAAGTTTCTTCTTTTGGGTCTCAGGAGAGAATGAACTGGAATACAATATGTGAAAGCACCTTGCATTTAGTAGCTGCCCAATAAATGATAGTTTCTTCCAGAACACTTAAAAAGTAAAATAAGAAAGGAAACACAGACTCCACTACGGCTTCTAATACTGAGCACTAATGTGTCAACGTAGGCACTTAACATATGTTAGCTCATTAATCTTCCGAGAACCCTATGAGTTGTACACTGTTATTACTCCATTCCACAGTTGAAAATAGTGAGGCACACAAAGGTAAATCAGGGACATGCAGTTAGTGCCAAAACTGAGGGGAAGCAGGTCAAATTGCTCCCACAAAGTATATCACTTCTCTTACACGCATAAGAAAAAATGAGCTAACATACATGGAAACACCCAGAAAGTGGGAAAGGCACCATAACACTATTAAAAATTACTACTATTATTAAGTTATTTTTCTGAAAGTGGTTATGGTTTGATCTAATCCACTCACTCTCTTAAGACAAGCTCCTTCTGTTGACCAAACACGTGGTTCAGTGGGAAGTTGGTTGGGCATTCTGCGACTGTGGAAAGGAATGGAAAATCTGGGTCCCAGCTAAAGCAAACACTCAGGTGGAACAATCTAGGACCATGGGCCCACGAACTGCATTGGTAGGTCAGACCAAAGACATACTTTTCTGAGGAAAGTATGTATGTGTTATGATTACTATGAATAATGATAACACTGATAGAAATAGTAACAATAACAGTGGTTAACATTTAAGGGCCACATTCTTTGAGTAAGCACAGTGCTAGGTGCTCAACATACATTATCTCAACCCATCTGTCAGATGGGCAGGCAGCTGTTGATGTCATTATTTTACAGATGAGGCTCAACCTGTGGTGATGGGTCAATGGCTGGCCCTGCCTCAGGTCCTCAAAGTCCAAGTCCAAGGCTGTGCCTGCCACTCCAAGCTGCCTTTTAGCAACGTGCAGGGGCTCTAGTAGCTAGATGCTTTGCTTTACATTATGTTTTTTAAGGGGATGGATTTTGAGGAAAGTTTTTAAAAAAATATATATTTTATTGATTTTTTTCAGAGAGGAAGGGAGAGGGATAGAGAGTTAAACATCGATCAGCTGCCTCCTGCACACTGCCTACTGCGGATGTGTCCGCAACCAAGGTACATGCCCTTGACTGGAATAGAACCTGGGACCCTTCAGTCTGCAGGCTGATGCTCTATCTGCTGAGCCAAACCAGTTAGGGCGAGGAAAGTTTTTTTTTTAATCATGAAAATTAAATATCATGGGATCAGCCAACTTTTCATGAAAATTCTTACAACTGACCTAATTGAGAAACATTGTGCTAGTGAAAATAGCGTGAGCTTTGAAGTCAGATAGGTCTGAGTTACCAAACCTTCTGAGCCTCTTTCATCATCATTATAAGGAAATAGCATTGCTTTTCTCACCACTGTTATGAGCATTAGCTGAGACAACACACCAGTATATATGTAAACGATCTTTAACAGGTAGGTGCTCCACAAATGTTCATTTTCTTTCTCTTCTCAACTATTTGAAATGTTTACCTGTGGACCTCTAAATTTATTTATTCTTTAAAAAAAAATATTCAGAGAGGAAGAGAGATAGAAACATCAATGATGAGAGAGAATCATTGATCAGCTGCCTCCTGCATGCCCCCTACTGGGGATGTGCCCTTGACCAGAATCGAACCTAGGACCCTTCAGTCTGCAGGCTGACGCTCTATCCACTGGGCCAAACTGGCTAGGGCTATTTATTCTTTTATTTAACAACGACTTACTGAGCTCCTCATATAGGCCATGCTGTGGACACAGGGAGAACAGTGTGACAAAGTCCTGCTCTTGTGGAGCTTATATTCTGTGGTGGGATGCAGATAAGAAGCAAACCAAGAGATTGTATCAGATGGTGATATACATGAGGAAAAATGGGCCAAAGTAACACAGCACTGCTTAGTAAAATGAGGGAGCTGGGCATCATAATCTTTGAGGTCCCTTTAACTCTGACATTTATGCCTTTATTCAGCAGCATTTGATTGTCATGCTACATCCCAGGTAATGGGATGATGTAGAGTCTGATCAATTTTAGGACTCGTGAAGATTTTGTTCAATGTGGTTGATAACACAAAAGAGAGCTCATCTTTATCAGTATTATCAAGTACAAGTACACAGTCATTGTAGGGGAATCCTTTCTATGTACTTAAACATGAAGGGTGATGTCATCAGGCCTCCACTAGAATATGTGGATGAGGCTTTTGAGACATTCACTTCTAGGATGAACAGTGCTGCCAATGTACCTGTTCTGCCAAATTATGTGCTCACTGCCCCAAAGATGCAGGCACATCCATATGTGACACACATTGGGAACACAGGCTAAAAGCATCTATCCAATTTGTTGACAATTATGGTTCCGCAGTGTACTCGGCAATTTCAGTTTCATAAGATACTTTTTTATTTGAAGTAAAATAATTTCTTTTAACCTCATAAAAAGACAGTTTATAAATGTTGTTACAAGTAATAGGATAATAAGGTACCATACTGTGTTTATTACATTAACTATTCATTACAAACTTAAAAAAAAAAATCTAGTGTTTTCAAAAATAAAATGAAGAAATGGGGTTAGGTCAATACATGCCTTTTGAAGAAAATGGTCCTCCAATTACCATGGCCAAAAAAAAGGGAGAAGGAAAGATCCTCAACTTTATGTTATTGTAATTAATAAATAGTATTAACAAATTTTCTAAACGCAGAGTGAGCAAAATTAAAATCCCCAGACCCA